TTTCTTCATTTTGCCTCCGTCAAATACGTTGAAGACTTTCTTTCCAACAGCCACGCCACAAACCAAACAAGAGGTGGAAATTTGAAGGGAGAGAGAGAGAGAGAGAGAGAAGAATTCCAACCCTCCATTATGGTACTGTCACGGAATGAACTATTCTTGTTCATTATTATTGAATGTTATTTTGTGAAGTTATTATATAATAAAATACAAAATTTGATGAAGAATTCGTTTCGACAAAAATGCTATATCAACCAGTTTCCATGTTTTAAGCCTTGAGCCCACCCGTTTACATAAGATTGGAAAGAAAAAAACGTACTCAGTTATTTCCATTCCATTATAGAGCGTCTGGGAGTTTTAACTCCACCCTCCCGATGACTTGTACTCCAAAATAAAAATTTGTGTCTCCAAGCAAACATTTCATCCTCACATCACATGCATTAGAATTTTAAGTTGGACTCTGTTGCACTAATAGGTTCAAAGTAGTCCTAATTTACTTTTAATCAATTGATAAATGGAGATTCATTATTATACCTAATATAGGGGTCCAAATTATAAAAATACCCTATATGAAATGGACTTTAGAAACACATCCAAAGCTCATTTACAACATATCAAAAAGGCTTTTAACTTCTTATAACTTACAGAACCGCTATCAATTTTTTTAAAATAAGCCCAATCCCAAAATCTTATAAAAAAACTAAAAAAACTCAATATGGTATCAAAGTAATTTAATAATCAAAATTAAATTTAATAGGGTTAGCTATCATTTTTTGGGTTCGTTTATAGAAATTAAATGGTATAAGATTTATCGATATTATTAGTTCTAAGAATGGGTATATGACTAAATATCTCATTGATAAAAGCCTAATAAGCCCTTTTATGCAAATCTGTTACCATCATACACACAGACTTTATTTAAGGTGATTAACTGCACAAAGACTCCAGCGATAATTGCACTCCACCCAAACTTAAGTTTCGATTTTTTCCTTTTGTCTAAAAAAAGACGGGCTTGTAGATTAAGTGGTTAAGACAGACTGAGGTGCTTTTGCTGGTAGTACAGTTTTTCTTAGTCAGAGTTGGATGGCTTGGAAAATTACTCGCTACTTCTTCTTTTTCCTATTTTGTTTGATCTGTTTGTAATTTCCACTGTTTTTCCGTTCTGCTTATCCATACAGAGTAACCACAATTGCCAAAACATGATATAGCTATAATCTCTACCAGACCTTTCTAGATCTCATCCTTGAATCGATCCTGAGGTGCAGCGTAGGTCTTCATAATCATACTATTATTTCCTTCTTAATATTTGCTGATAAGACGATTAATACGACGCAGCTTCTTTCTTGATCTGGAGGTACTGTCTCTAACTTATTAGCTCTCTCTTATGATTATATATGTTTTCAAAAGGTCGTTATTTGTTGAGATCCTTTGGTCCGTCATTTCTCATTCTCATATACAGCTAATTTGGACCTAGTGTTATTTGCATATTTATGAATATATATACATATATGCATGTTTTGACTTGTAGGAATTTGCAGGTTTTTGATAGGGATATGAATTCATCTTCTTCTTCTTCTCTTCCTTTTGCTGTCCCCCTTAAAGAAAAGTATGATGTGTCTCTAGTTGAATGGAAAATTTGGGATTGAATTGTTTGTATTGTATTCTTCTCTTTGTGGAGGTGAATATAAAGATGTACAAGTTGACTTATCACACCAGGAATAAAATAAATACATCCTAAAATAGGATTCCCTATTAAATAAGAAATATATTTCCTACTCTAGTTGTCCCTTGACTCGTGCCAATACTCTCCCTCAAGTTTTTGTGTAGATATCTCTTATGCCCAACTTGACAATTGAGTCATAAAACACCTTTGCTAATACTGTGTGCAACAAAACATCTGCCAACTGTTCTTCAGATTTCAAAAATGGGATATCAATCAACTTCCCAACAAGTTCTTCCTTAATAAAGTGTTGATCCATTTCAACGTGTTTAGTTCTATCATGTTCAATTGGATTGTTTGAAATTTCTCGAGTTGCCTAATTATCATAATAGAGATCCATAATTTCCTTTCCTGCGGTGGAAATCCAATTTCAGTGATTAAGTTTCTAAACTAGAGAAGCTCACAAATCCCTGGGCCACACCCCTATACTTGGGCTAAGTTGCAGATTGTGCCACTACATTTTGCTTCTTACTACGCCATGTAATCAGGTTACCTCCCACAAAGGTGAAGTAGCCTGACGTAGAACGTCTATCTGTAATATTACTATAGCCCAATTTGCATATGTAAATCCTTTGATATTCAAATGACCTTGTCTCTTGAATATCTAACCTTTTCTTGGAACTCCCTTCAAATAACGCATCACTACTGCCTGATGTTCTTCACTGAGTGAATGCATAAACTGACTAACAACGCTAATTGCATAGGCAAGATCAAGACGAGTATGCGACAAATAAATTAGTTTTCCTACTAGTCTATGATATCTTTCTTGGTTTGTTGGTACTTGGTCAGGGTAAATGGCTAGATGATGATTCTATACAATAGAAGTGTTTGCGGATGCACACCTTAGCATGCTTGTTAATGTCAACAAATCCAACACATATTTCCTATGATACAAACAAATTCTATCACTAGAGTGTGTAACCAAAAGATGTACATGTCCTAGTCATTTATGCCATAGCCTTAGGAGTCCCTACTTAATTATAGGTTGTTTAGCTGTCAAACTATCATTGGCAGGAATGTAGGAGTTCCTATTGTTATAAAAAATATAGTTTTCTTTTTCCGTAACGCCAAATACAAAAACCTTTATATTATAAATAACATATAAACAAATTGGAAAGCTTTTAAGGTACAATGAAACTGAAGAAAAATAGATTGATAGGTAAGTGAAAGCAAAATAAATTATAAATAAGGTGACCTTGGTACGGTGAAACATGTTAAAGACGCTGTCCTAAAGCCTTTTTAGCCTCCCTACGTGCATGTACTAGCGGTTTACAAGACTCCAAGATATGACCTCTTGTACACAAGCTCAAGATCTGCTATGAGCACGTTCATAGACGGATATAGGTATCCAAGTCAAAGAACTATTGCCCAAAATAATAATATAAGTAAAGAAAGTATAAAAAGTAGAAGAGGAGAGAATCAGATTGTGGTGGTGATTGTGGTATGCGATATTCTGATGGTGTATTGTGGTTGTTCAAATGTGAAGGAGAAGTGACTTTTTATAGGCATCTAATAACATGTAACATTCACCACATTAAACTAGAGAATCAAGGCATTCAATGTAGAAATAAAACATAAAAATTAAATATTTTTAACCCTCACAATAAATAAAATAAAACAACCAAAATAATTAAATAAATAAAAACGGTTAAATTTTTAAAACCTTTTTAAAATTCCAACAGTTCCTACCTGATGGAGGGAATTCAATTCTAGTGCGAGTGACAACACATTACACAATAGGCTCCCTTATAGGCGTTTTTCATATAAAGTTCTGCTTTTGTATGTTGATCATGTTGGATATCGCTATGATCCGTATTATTTTTGTGTTTAAATTTCTTTAATTTTTCTAGCAGCCCAATTGCATGCTTGTATATGATTTCATTGAAATCATTCCAATTCCTTCTAAGCACAGGTGTATTGGAATGATTCTAATTCCTTACTTCCCATGCATAAAATTTACACATATGGAATAAAAAAATCATGGGAATTCCATTGTAAAATTCTTAATCAGATACCCTCAAAACTAAGAATCAGATCAACTAGGGGATTCCGATTCCTTATTCTCAAATTCTTAAGTTCCTCGTTTCATCAATTCTAAGCTCTAGTCTACTATGGTAAGTGAAGTTGCGGAGAGACTAATTGCTAAGTGAGAAACAATACAACTAAGAAGGGATTAAGTTGCACCTCAACAATCAGAATGTAATTTAAGCAAGAGAGAGATTGTCTTAATTTTTAGGAGCAATTGCATGCAGAGACTGATCAATCAGACTTTCTGATGCAGCGAGATATAAGGTATAGGGAGATCAAACGATAACCCTACAAGTAACAATGTCATAATCGAACAACAAACTAGAATCCACTAGAGAAATTGAGTAAACCTCAAATATATTGATTGAAAATAAGATGAATAATCTCATGATGCTCCAATGCATTCCTTTTATACAAGAGAAACCCTAGACTTTTTTGGAAAGCCAATGAGAAATCCTAGACTTTCTTGGAAAGCCAATGAGAAACCCTAGACTTGCTAAAAAAGCTAATTAGAAAAAGAAAAGGAAAATAATAAAAGTTTCCCAAAATATTCTAAAAACTTTAGACACTGAAAAGTCAAAATAAATGATAGAATTTGGTTAAAACAGCCCATACTTCACTAAATAGCAGTGAGTTGCATTTGTTACACAGTTCTTTTCGAAATGGTAGGTCATGAGCCCGATTCTGAGCTCGGGGCCCATACTTGCACATATTGGGCTTTGCTGGCGCGACGACATGCACGCTTGTCCAGCTGTTCTTCGATCAACTAGGCCATATGTTCTACATCCGTCCCTTCCACTTCGGAAGAACTCAACCTTGAGTTATCTTCAGGATAGAGAGGATCATCGTTATGGAATGCATACAGGTCAGTAACATTAAAAGTGCTTGAAATCTCCATGGATGGGGGCACGTCCACAACATAAGCATTGTCGTTGATCTTCTTTAGAATCTTGTAAGGACCATATTTGCAAGGATATAACTTGTGATGAGTACCTCATCACATGGTGATGCGAATTTGATGGTAACAACTTTGAAGGTCTATCTTCGAAAACACCTTAGAAGACTCTAACACATCCAGTATGTCTTCCAACCGTGGTATTGAAAATCTGTATTTGATAGTAATTTTGTTGATCGCCCTACTATCAACACACATACGCCATGTTTTGTCTTTCTTGGGCACCAGGAATACTAGGACTGCACAAGGACTCATGCTCTCACGGATAACCTTTTTTTGTAGCAACTCTTTTATCCTCTCTCATAGAATGTCATTCTCCTTAGGACTTATGCGGTAATGTGGTAGATTAGGGAGACTTGCTCCAGACACCAAATCAATTTGATCTTGGATATCCCTCATGGGAGGTAGCTGGTTGGGCAGGTCGTTAGCAATCAACTCCTTAAATGCAAAATTTTCTTTACTTCTTTTAGGAGTTGAGCTTTCTCAGGTACGACAGCTAACAACCCTTTCATCACAACGTGATAAATTGTTTCGGGATCTTTAACAACTTCTAAACAGTCACGTTCATTGCTAGCTATGGTGAGGAAACTGGAATTCACGGCTGGTTTCTCAGGTTTGCCAAAGTCATTCAAGGGAGCCATAACAATTTTATGAGAGCCTTAATTGAAAAATACACGTTATCACGTCCCTTATAAGAGGCATCTGTATCAAACTGCCTAGGTCTACCCAACGAAATGTGATTAGCATCTATATCAATAATATCACAAAGAACCTCGAACTTGCAATGCTTACCAATGGACAACGGTATCTTACAAACTTCTGTGACTTGAATTGAAGGGCCTCTCTTCACCCATCTCAAGGAATAAGGTGATTCATGCTTCTCTGTTGGCAACTTTAAATAATCCAAAACTGTTTTGGATGTGAGATTCTCACAACTGCCACCATTGATAATTAAACTGCACACCTTGTTGTTGACGGTACAAAAAGATTGAAAGATCTTATGCCGCTGCACTTCCTCTTGTCTTGGTGCGAGTAACAACCATTGCAAGACTAGGTTAATTAATTTGTTGCCTTCCTTATAGACGAAATCACCTCCTTCATACTTTTCATTAGCACCATGATCCTCATTCGCTTCAGCCAAGTTAACTTGCCGACGATTAGGACAATTGTTGAATTTGTGGCCTAGTTTGCCGCAATGATAATAGTGATCTCCATAAGGTTTTGCATATGGATTCAGTCTTTGGAACCCTTATTCTCAGTGCGGCTACTGCCTTCTGCTACTCCCTTTGTGCCTTGCCATTTGTTAGTATTATTATTCTCAGGAACCTGTGCAACTTCTTTACCTTTGTCTTTTGCAGGGATAGGTGAATTGGCAGATTTCTTCTAAAACTTGCTAGAACTCGATCGTTTCTCGTTCTCCATAAGCTCCGCCTTGAGGGCCATGCTATTGGCCTCTTGCACGGTTCAAAAAGTCTACAATCCAATTCGATCTTGGATGGAAGGTTTAAGCCCATTCATATACCTTACCACTTGTTGACTATCGGTTTCATCTAGGTTATTATGCTTTGCGAGGCCCAAAAATTCAGATGTATACTTTGCCATCGTCCTATGGCCTTGGATGCAATTGTGGTAAGGCGGTACAAATATTGCTTAAAGTCTGCCGGGAGGAATCTGTCAGTCATTAATTGCTTCAGGAGATTTGCCTTGCCTTTTGTGCGTCTTCTGTAATTGATTCCACCATACTGCAGCACTTCTTTTGAGATGAAAAACTATTAGCTTCACCATCTTCACCTCGGGAACCTCCATAAGTTCAAAAAACCTCTCCACTTCAACAAGCCGATCCAATAAATCTTCAACTTGTATGTGCCCATTGAAATATGAGATTTCAGTCTTCATACGATAGTATTCTTGGCGTTGGTTATTGGGTTGGACATGATCGTCATGAATTTCTTCCTCTGACTCCTCATCACTATCTTCTTGACGAGGGTGCCATGGGGGACGTAGTTCGTTACGGGGGTCTTCTCCTCTGTTTTCGTTTGGTCGTGCTTGGTTTCCCAAGGTCAGGATCATCTGACATAGACCCTTGATTGCTATATTTAATTCATCACGAGTGATTGGTTCCCCATCTCCACGGGTCCTATCTTCTCCGTCTAGACGAGCCATTGGAGGGACTTCAAGTCAGGCAAAAATCTACTATGATACCGACTGATGCAGCGAGATATAAAGGATAGGGAGATCGAACGATAATAATGACGGAATCCACCAGAGAAATTGAGTAAACCTCAAATATATTGATTAAAAATAAGATGAATAATCTCATGATGCTCCAATGCATTCTTTTTATACAAGAGAAACCATAGACTTGCTTGGAAAGCCAATGAGAAACCCTAGACTTGCTAAGAAAGCTAATTAGAAAAGAAAAAGGAAAATAATAAAAGTCTCCCAAAATAGTCTAAAAACTTTAAACACTGAAAAGTCAAAGTAAACTATAGACTTTGGCTAAAATAGCCCATACATCACTGCAAAGCAGTGTGTTGCATTTTTCACGCCGTTGTCTTCGAAACGATAGGTCATGAGCTAGATTCTGAGCTTGGGCGACGACATGCTGGCCTGTCTAGCTATTCCTCGATCAACTCGGCCATATATTCTACATCACTTTGTATTTGATTATATCCACACAAGATGTGTGGGCAAATAAAGTCCGAAGGATAGCGTATCCTATGCGTCTTGAAGCATCTTTCATCCTCTCATTATCATTCCAACTTAAACTCTTCTTCCATGAGCCATTCCCACATATTTTGTAAAGAAAAATCTGTAAGAGGAATTCTTGGTATGTAAGGAAAGTCACAAGTCACTCAACACTTGATTATATGCACTAATTTACAAGGGGAAAATCCTTCGCTAAGAGTGTAAGAGGGGGTCATTGCGTTGCCACTCCCATGTACCATTCTTCAGAGGTAATTTTACTTTTCTTTTTCCATGGCTGATGATTTTCCTGGATCGTTTTGTAGCTTTGTGCATATAGCCAAGTCAAACAATTGCTAAACTAAAATCTGATCTAGCTAGTCTCAGCAACTGCTTTTATATTCCCTTTCTTTCTAAACAACAAAAGGCCACAAATCTCTCAAGCTGCCAGTGGCAACTTATTTCTAGCTCTCTTTGTCTCTTGCTTAAACGGGTCCTCAGGTGCAACTTAATTAACCCCTTCCATCTCCAATACCAGATTCTCATTATTCTATAACTAAATACTCATAAACATACGAAAGAGAGGGATATGGAGTTCATTGGGTGCTTTCTAGTTTTCATCATCATCATCATGACTCTGTTCTACATGGGTTTCAGATCATTTACATCTTCTTCTTCTTCTTCTTCTTCTTCTACTTCTTCTGTTGCTGCTGCTGATATTGATATCCCTCCTCTTCAAGAAAAGTATGATGTGTTTATTAGTTTTAGAGGTAAGGATACCCGCCGTACTTTTACCAGCCATCTCTATCATGCTTTATGTGGGAAGAAAATCGAAACCTACATAGATTACAGGCTTGTGAGAGGAGATGAAATTGTGCCTGCCCTCCTCGAAGCAATCAAGAGATCAGCAATTTCGGTAATCATTTTCTCAGAAAACTATGCTTCTTCTACTTGGTGTCTGGATGAACTTGTGCATATACTAGAATGCAAGCAAAAAAATGGCCAGTTGGTTATACCCATTTTTTACGACATCACTCCATCAAATGTACGGAAACAACAGGGAAGTTATGCGCTTGCATTTCGTCATCTTGAAAAATGTTTCAGGGATAGTAACGACAAGGTGCACAAGTGGAGGGCTGCATTGACAGAAGCAGCCAGTCTATCTGGGTTTGATGATTCAGAAAAAACAGAGTAATTAGTTCTGTAACTTATATTTTGAGTTCTACTTGTGACTATTTAATTAGGCCGGTATACTTACTAACAATTTGTTTGTTTGTCCTTTATAATTATATATGCCAGGTTGGAGGCCAATTTAGTTAAAAGAGTTGTCCAAGATATTTGGGCCAAATTGCACCGGGAATCGTCAATTGATTTAAGGGGCCTGGTAGGAATTGAAAGGAAAATTGAGAAACTTGAGTCGTTATTGTGCTTGGATTCACCATGTGTTCGCTGTGTAGGTATTTGGGGAATGGGTGGTATTGGCAAGACCACCCTTGCGGATGCTATATTTCTAAGGTTGACCCCTAGATTTGAAGCTCATTGTTTTCTTGCAAATGTTAGGGAGAAATCAGAACAAACGGATGGACTGAATCAGTTGCGAAATAAACTTCTTGGTGAGATATTGAAGGAAAAAGATCTAAACATCGACACTCCTTCTATACCACCTATTACTCGATATAGGCTCAGCAGCACAAAGGCGCTCATTGTTCTTGATGATGTGAACGCTCCAAGCCAACTAGAATTTCTTGTTGGTCATCATGATCAGTTTTGCCAAGGAAGTCGAATCATTATAACTGCTAGAGATAAGGGCCTACTTGAGCAAAAAGTTGACCATGATAAGATATACAAGGTTGAGGGATTAAGTTCTGAAGAAGCTCTTCAGCTCTTTCATTCGCATGCTTTCAGAAATAAGTCTCTAACAACAGATTACACTGAGTTGTCAAGAAAGGTGGTAGATTATATTGAAGGCATTCCATTAGCTCTTAAAGTTATGGGGTCCTTATTCCTTGGTTGCAAGAGCAAAAAAGAGTGGGAAGATCAACTGAATAAATTGAAACGATTTCCAAGCGAAGAAATCAAGAAAGCATTGAGAGTAAGTTACGATGGATTAGAAGAAAATGAGAAGGAGATATTTCTTGATATAGCATGTTTTCATAAAGGCTATAGCAGGAATTATGTAAAAGAGTCATTAGATGGACGTGGTTTCTGTGGGGAAGTCGGAATCAAAGTTCTCATTGATAGGTCTCTCATATCAATTTCAAAAGGACGGATAGAGATGCATGATTTGGTGCAAGAAATGGGTAGGGCAATTGTTTGTGAACAACGTATTGAAGAACGCAGTAGGTTGTTCACAGCAAGGGATGTCTATCAATTATTGAATAACCAGGTAATTTAATTATGTTATATGCACATTTGATTTGGCTAAACTTTTTGTATATTAATTCACTTTTTATACTTTGCACTTGATTTTCAGAGAGCTGCAACTGTTCAAGCCATATCCCTTGACTGGTCTGAGATTGAAAAGCTAAACTTGAATGATGCAGACTTCAAAAAGATGTATCAACTGAGATGGCTACATGTTGGTTATTCTTGGTTTCTTGAGCACCACACATTAATTGGTTCTCTTGATCTTCCCAATTATCTTAGTTATCTTAACTGGGAGAGATATCCTTTGCAATCCTTGCCATCCAAATTTTCTCCTGTAAATCTTGTTGAGCTTCGTCTGCCGTACAGCCAAGTTACTGGGTCGCAACTTTGGAATGAAGAGCAGGTATATATGCTTATCTTAGTTTTTGTATAACGTGCAAGATAAGTTATTAATTATTGTCAACCCTCTTTCATTTGTTACAGAAGCTTATCAACTTAAAAGTGATCAGTCTTCGTTTCTGCGAATATCTAACTGAAGTTCCAAATCTCTCTCGGAGTCTAAAAATTGTACATATAGATCTTCGTGGTTGTGTAAGTTTGGTTGAAATTCCTTCGTATTTTCAAACACTTGACAAGCTTACTTATCTTGAACTTGGGGGCTGCACAAATCTCAAAAATCTTCCCGAGATTCCATGTAATGTTGAATTCTTAGACTTGTCTAAGACAGCAATAAAGGAATTGCCATCAACAGTTTGGTCTCACAAAAAAATTACTTACTTTGATATTACAAATTGTAAATTCCTTGAGAGACTTCCAAGCCGCAGTTGTAAGCTGAATGTCTCGGGTACTTTTAGTCTAGAGGGTTGCCTATCTCTTTGCGAGTTTTCAGAGCTTCCCAGGAATACAACAGTGCTAGATTTGAGGGGCACAACAATAAAAGTATTGCCCTCATCAATTGAGTTTGTCTCTAGTCTCACTACAATTAAACTGGAAGCTTGCAAAAGCCTTGTGAGTCTCCCAACGAACATTTGGAGGTTGAAATCCCTTCAGAGCCTTGATCTCAGTCGCTGCTCCAAATTTCAATACTTGCCAGAAGTCTCGGAGCCCGTGGAACATCTGGAGTTTCTAAATTTATCAGGTACAGCGGTTAAAGAACTACCCCCATCAATTGGAAATCTAGTTGCCCTTCGAAAATTAGACCTCCACGTGTGCAAGAACCTTGAGGTTGTCCCAAACAGCATCTACAATTTAAGCAACCTTAAAACTCTCAGGTTTGATGGATGTTCGGAACTGAAGAAATTGCCTCCTGTCTCAGTAGACTTAGTCGGTTTGCTCTCTTTGGAAGCACTAAACCTTAGTTATTGCAGTATACAAGAAATCCCTGATGGTCTCGTTTGCTTAACCTCATTACAAGAGTTAAATCTGAACAAGGCCAAAATTAAGAGCATACCTGGAAGCATCAAACAAGCAGCTGAGTTGTCTTGCCTGTGCCTAAGCGATTGCAAGAACCTTGAATCTTTACCAGAGCTCCCCCCATTGCTACAACGTCTTGAAGCAGGTGGTTGCACGTCACTGAAGACAGTGTCAAGTTCAAGCACTGCACTCACACAATGTTGGGACGAATATATATTTTCTCGAAGGCTTCATGAGAAACATATATTTTCTAGTTGCCCAAATTTGGATCCGAATGCACGAAGCAACATAATGGCTGATGCACAGCTCAGAATTATGCGAATGGCAACTGCATCATCAAAGTTTAAAGAAGAAAAAATTGAACGAGCATCATATGATTCAGATGATGAATTTTTTATGCATGCTGTGATTCAGGTCTCTCTATCTCTTTCTTTCTTTCTTCATCTCTCTTTCTCTCTACCTCACACACACACACTGTCTGTCTCACTCACTTCTGTTGAAGCAGCTGCTATTTATTTCACGAGTTTAATAACTATGGTGTCCATATCTGTGGTACAGGAAAGTTTTTGTGGGAGATGTTTAGTTGCCATTAAATGTCCAGGGTATGACATTCCAAATTGGTTCAGCCATCAAAGTGAGGGATCTTCAGTAAAGATTCAGCTTCCTCCTGATTGGTTTAGCACAGATTTCTTGGGTTTCGCTCTATCTCTTGTCGTTGCATATGCTCCTTTGTATATGAAGATTAGATGGAAGTACAGCTTCAAAGCTAGTAACGGGGAAAGCCATGAAATAAAAAATAGTTTGTATAATCCGTATCTGTTTGGAAGCAGTTTCCAAGATTCTCATGAGGTGTTTGTATGGTGGTATAATGTCTTTGAAGTTGTAGAGGCAGCTCAAATCCCCACTGCATTTTACAAACTTGTTACCGAGGTCTATGTTGACTTCAGCATAGACAAATATTCCGCCTACAGACCCATTCCGGAGAAGTGTGGGGTCTGTCCGTTGTATGGCGAAGATGCTGAGATCATAAAGCAGAGGGCTTTGTAGATCAAGCCCTTTGCTTTGAGTTGTTGCAAGGTCAAGCTCAAGCTCAAATTCAAATTTTGTTTTTATTTGAGCTGTTGCAAGCTTTGTGGCTGAGGATGCTTTTGAGTTTGTTAGGCTTAGCAATGTCTTTCTTGTTTTAAACCTTCGGCCTCTCCATCACCAAGCTTTTTGGCTGAGGATGTCTTTCAGTTTTACTTTTTATTTAGATATTAAAATTTTATTTTACATGAGTTGTGTTCCAGCTTGAAGTTTAATGGAAGCTACCGGCCCTTGTTGAGCCACCCAATTACCCGATAAAGCTAAATTTACGGACATAAATATCATAAATGGGAAGCATTGGCACCTTTTTCATTTTTGCATCTCTTAAATTATAGACGTTTTTGTACCAGAACAAGATCGAACACTTCGCCAACAACACCATAAACCAACAATTACGACAGATTGAAATTTTGGAGGGAGACAGATCTGAAGATGAAGAAAGCAGGGCCCTCGTTGGATTCCATGCCTATCATAGAACATTTATGGAAAACCAAAACAGGGTACACACCCAAAAAACAAACCAAAACAAAAAAAGTGGCGTAGAAATTGTAGAAAATGATAGAAAAAGTAAAGCCTGAAGAAGTTGTAAAAGATCCTAAACCTATTTTCCTTTTCTCTCATGTCATATAAACATTCCTACCTTCTGGCAAGAATCATCGGCGAAAAAGAAAAAAGAAAAAAGAAAAGTTCGAGTAGCCTCATTACAGGTTCAAAAATCTGAATAGGATTCTCTATATTCTGTTTGTTGGATTTTAGAGGTGTGTGATGCTCTGATACCACTTGGCTAATCCTCACCACCTTAGGTCGATTAGCTAGATAGCTAGCTAGTTTAGGTTGCTAGCTTACTAGCTTAGGTTAGGTAGCTATATTTTGCTCCACCTTGCTATATTGCATTGCATGCCTATTTATAGGCAAGGTGTTGCCGCCATTGTCACCGACTTGGGATATTCATTCAAGCCACAAGTTGTAGTCTTGCTCTAGAGAGTTCTTCCACCGCCATACTCTAGCCATTAACTTGTCCCTTTCTCTAGAATAATCTTGCATATTCCTTCATGTGTGCCGACATTGTTGGTGTGCTTCTCCAGAATTCTAGGCTCGTGCTTTATTCATGATTCTTCTGGAATAGTCTAGATGACAAATGAGCATTAGTTTTCAACACTTCTATTCCAATGCCGATGCTGCTGCTCAATTACCGAGGCCTTTTATGAACATTGTGCTTCCATGTTTTTACTACAATATTATTGTAACAAAATCAATAATATTGCCCATATAAGCAACCTACATCAAAACGAGCAAACACTTTGGTGAAAAATTCGTTTAGACGAATCAGCTAACTGGCAGAAGTGGGAAATCCAGTCTAGTCCTCTCCTAATTAATTCAGTCTAGTCTGAAAAGAACTCTTCCAGTTCTGGTTGGTGAGGTTTAAGTAGAAGACCTGGATCTGAAACTTTTACAATAGGCACCACTTTCCCCTGAGACCCGATTTACATTCATTTAAGTAGAAAACCGTCCTATGGAATCTGCATGTTGTATGCCCGAGATGTTGAGATCATTAAGCCAAAGAGTTTGTAGCTCCAGTAGTTAGGAATATTTACCAAATCTTATGTGTTGAAACCCTCTGTAAAGTGCTCAAAAAGGTTTTGGTATGCCTTAGCCTGTGATGGGGCCCCTCACTCTAAACTTTTATTTACCAAAAATAAATTAAAATTCCCTATCACGTATTGTAAACCTTGTGGCTGAGGATGCTTTTGAGTTTGTCAGGCTTAGAGGTGCCTTTCTTGTTTTAACCCTTCGGCTTTTCCTTGAATTCAATGTCAATATTGTCAAACAAGCTAAATTTGTAATTTTTTTTTCTCTTAATAACTTCTTATTTATATATTTTGAATTTAATTTTTTATGTCGCTGTAAACAGATGGGTTACATAGTTGGGATTCGACCCGGCCCATAAATAACTTTAGCTATTCCATGTTCATGGGTGGATCTATCAATAGAAAATTGCGGTCACAACTGCAACTGCACTGGATCAATAATTCAAAAGAGATACTTGTAGTCGAGAACAGATACCACAGTGGTGGCTTCCCCCTTCCCCCTGCTTGGCACCAAGGTCGAAACCCCAAGGGGTTTCTCTCCTCCCAATGTAACCAAAAAAGAAAAGAAAAGAGATACTTGTAAAGATATTTGTTACTCTCCACATACAGAGACTGATTTCAACATGCATACTTGTGAAGATATTTGTTTGCTCTCACTCACTTCTGTTGAAGCAGCTGCTATTTTTTCACGAGTATGATCCATGGACCATGGTATAGGAAAATTTTGGCAGGAGGAGAAGACGGTATTTGAATTGCAGTCTTGAGTTGGACGACGATGACAATCGCTAAGAGAGCTCCAGCTCTGACACTTCTCCACAAGGGTAATCCATCTTCTCTCTATTATTCTCTGTTTGGGCGTGTCATTGTGAGAACCCAGTTTTGCTCTTTGGCTATCAATCGTTGTCATACTGTTGTTAGTGTTATTGGTCCTAACCCTAAGGAAACCATTGATTTGGATAAATTGGTAGAAATGCGTTGTAAATCTGGTAATCTTGGGTTAGATGAAGCACTGGGTCACTTCAATTCCGTAATTCAAATGAATCCCATTCCCTCGATTTGGGCTGTTCAATCATTTGTTTGGGGCACTCTCCAAGATGAATCAGTGTTCCGCTGTAGTTTCTATGTATAAACAGATGCTGGCTTGTGTTGGCTTACACCCCGAAGTCTGTACACTGAATATTGTTATCAATTGCTTGTGCCGTATGAATCGGGTGGACTTGGGTTTCTCTGTTTTAGCAACTACCCTTAAACATGGTCTTCAGGCCAATGCTTATGCTCTAAATGCTTCGCTTAATGGGGTTTGCAAGTATAGGTCGATCTCTGAGGCAATGCAGTTGTTCCGTAAAATAGAAGAGAAAGGATTAGCATGCTCTGAAATCACTTACGCTACTATAATTAATGGCTTATGCAAAGCTGGGTAAACATGTATTGCACTTGAGATACTCGAGCACATGTATGAAGATGGAAGGTTTAAGCCCGACCCTCAATGCTATAGTCCAATCATTGACAGCTTATGCAAAGAAAGACGAATAGATGAGGCCAGGACCTTATTTCGAGATATGAATTAGAAAGGCATAAAGCCTGATGTTGTCACTTTTACTTCCTTAATTTCTGCAGCATGCAAGTCTGGTAAGTGGGAAGAAGCACTTAAACCTTGTGGAAGAAATGTTCCTTAGAGGTGTAAAGCCTGATCTCGTCACCTACAACTCCTTAATTAATAGCCTCTGCCATTCCGTGCAATGGAAAGAAGCCACAAGGTTGTGCAATAGAATGCTGGATGAAGGAATTGCACCAGATGTTGTAACCTTTAACACTAGAATGCTGGATGAAGGAATTGCACCAGATGTTGTAACCTTTAACACTGTAATAGATGCTCTTTGCAAGGAGAGACGGACCAAGGAAGCGCTCTCTGTGTTGGACACAGAGGTATGAGGCTTGGCATTGTCACTTACAACTCTCTAATTTATGGCATGTGCCTTACAGATCAATGGGATGAAACCACGAGGTTGTTTGACGAAATGGTAGGTCAGGGAGTCTTACCTGATATCATTACTTTGAGAATACTTTTGGATGCTCTCTTCCAAGGCAGGATGCCAGAAGAGGCTCATAAAGTACTTGAGACCAGAGTTAAATATGGTATGGAGCTGAGCAAAATAACTTGCAGTATGCTAATTGATGGTTATTGTTTTCGTGGCAAAATGGATAAGGCAAAGAAGGTAATTGATTTAATGGTGATAAAACATCATGTCCCTGATATTGCTTCTTGTTATAAAGCCTTGGTCAATGGTTATATGCGAGCTAAAAGGATAGGTGAAGCTTTGAGGCTTGTTGAGGAAATGATCGAACAAGGAGTGACGCCTGATGTGGAAACCCTAAAAGCTTTGAGAGGTTTGCGTCCTAAAAGGCATGTTGTATCTGCAGAATAGCTCCCCATGAGACCGCTAGAACTAGTTACATTCCTGTTAAATCGTTAACTGCTAATTATGTCATTGCATTCTAAACTTGTATGACCAAGCAATATTAGTGAATAGAAGTGGTTTCAAACAATTATAGGATCCTAACCCTAAGGAAACCATTGATTTGGAGAAATTGGTAGAAATTCGTTGTAAATCTGGTAATCTTGGGTTAGATGAAGCAATGGGTCACTTCAAATCCATAATTCAAATGAAACCCATTCCCTCTATTTAGGCATTAATCATTTGTTTGGGCCGCTCTCCAGGATGAATCAGTGTTCCGCTGTAGTTTCTATGTATAAACAGATGCTGGGTTGTATTGGCTTACACGCCGAAGTCAGATGCTGGGTGGACTTGGGTTTCTCTGTTTTAGCAACTACCCTTAAACATGGTCTTCAGCACAATGCTTATACTTTGACTGCTTTGCTTCATGGAGTTTGCAAGTATAGGTCGATCTCTGAGGCAATGCAGTTGTTCCGGAAAATATAGGAGAAAGGATTAGCATGCAGTGAAGTCACTTATGCTCATATAATTAATTTGTTATGCCCGAACTGGGAAAACATGTATTGCACTTGAGATACTTGAGCACATCTATGAAGATGGGAGGCTTAAGCCCAATCCTCAATGCTATAATCCAATCATTGACAGCTTATGCAAAGAAAGACCCGTAGACCAGGCCGTGATCCTATTTTGAGATATGATCAATAGAAGTGTTGTGCCAGATATCGTCAGTTACAATTCATTAATTTATGGATTATGCAACATGGGTCTTTGGAATCGAGCACTTGCTCTGTTTGAAATAATGAATGAGAAAGGCATAAATCCTGATGTTGTCACTTTTACTTAATTTCTGCAGCATGCAAGTCTGGAAAATGGGAAGAAACTGTGCGGCTATTTAGAAACTTGATTGATTGTGGAGCCTTGCCTAATATTGTTACATTCAATTCTGTGTTGGATGCTTTATGCAAAGATGGGAAAACAGCGGAGACACTTAAACTTGTGGAAAAAATGCTCCTTAAGAGGTGTAAAGCCTGATCTCGTCACCTACAACTCCTTAATTAATAGACACTGCCATTCTGCGCAATGGAAAGAGGCCACAAGGTTGTGCAATAGAATTCTGGATGAAGGAATTGCACCAGATGTTGTAACCTATAACACTGTAATAGAAGCTGGATTGAGGAAGCGCTCTCCGTGTTAGAGCTATATCCCAAAGGGGTATGAGACTTGACATTTTCACCTACAACCCTCACCAAGTTGCATTTTGGAAGGTCAGAGCAGAATCATTCTGCAACCATCTTGCTTTCTGTTTCGATGCACTGTTTAGGCTCTGCTTGGTTTCATTTTCAAAGTTACTTTCTGTTGTTTTTGGAATTCTAGTTTAATTTCCCGTGCTTTTGAGTTTACTCACATTTAAATTTTAACCAAGTTATGATTCTGATTGAAGTTAACTTCCTTGTCACAAGGCATTATTCAAGGGTCCTTAACACTAATGTCGCACTGACAACGATCACATACAAAAAATTCCACATGATTAAACCTCACTCTCAAAGCAAAACAAAACATAACAAAGCAAATTTTAACACTCAAGATGATCACTTCAACTGCATAACCCATTAGACCTAGTTACCATAACAGATGAAGAACTAGTGTGGAGAGACCTTATAGCTCCGCTGTGGTACCTTTCTGATGATGGCCCTCATGAGATCAAAGTAGAGGGGCAGCTGTGCAAGAGCGAAAAAGGTGACCGGCAAGCAAGTCGCTGCATACAATGGATATGCCACATATCTCAGTTGATGTTTGAGGACAAAGATATGCCCTGTGCAGAATGAGACTAACATGGAAGCTATTGATGCGAAGAGTGATGTTAGACCCAGCAAAAGTTTCCGAGGCAACCCCATTGAAAAATCTCTCTCTTCGTATCTAGAAGTGAGAATTGAAAGAAAGAAGACCAGGGAAGTTACTGAGAAGCAGAGAGCAGTCAGTGATGAGATGGTGAAGGCACCGAATGCTGACTCGTCTTTAAGAATTGGTTCACCTGTATTCTGATTAAGTCCACCTGGGACAGTTGCTGATGTTGCGAATGCAACCGTTGCAATGAGAGCTGCAACCACAGAGCACGACTCCGAGGTTTTAGTTAGCCATTTGCTGCCTTCTTTTATAAGATTTTGGTGAGAAGTTATGAAGATCTCCTTTGGGGTCTGGCCTTTTTTGTTGTAGCGAACAAAGAAACCATGTGGCATTGAGCTTTTGACAAACTGCGCATCCAGTCAACATAACAGTAACTCTTAGAAGATTATGTTCAAACACTTCAAAACCTTGATTTCAAAGTTTAACTTGAAAAGATAAATAAAAGGCCAGTAATGGTAAAGCCAGAGGTTTGTAAGCTGAAGACTAACATGAAGAGTGCAGCTGAAACTGATATAGTGTGAGATCAACAATAGTTCATACCTTATACCACTTGATTTCCCATTGCATTTGCAATGCAGCACCTGGAATAAGCCAAGGCCGGTACTGTCCACATCTAGCGGCAAGATGTAAAGCGCTGTTACCTTGGTTGTCCAACTGACGCAACAAGCTCTCTTTTAGTATCTTTCTCTTCCGCAGGAGATTGTAAACATGGGGTTGCCTGTTCTCAACTGCTAACAGTACAACATTCTTGTTATCAGAGTCCACATCCTGGATGGCCACTGGGAACTTGTCTAGGATTGTTTCTACCATTTCTGTCACTCCCATCTTTGCTGCAATTAATATTGGTGTCTGCTTTTTATCTGCTTCACAATTTCCATTCTTCTTATCTCCCAAGGGTTTGTTGTCCTTCCTCTCTTTACCGTTTTTGAGTCCAAGTTTGTAATCATGTGCTGTAGGTTTTCGAAGCCATGTTTGAAGGTGAAAAACTTGTAAAAGATAACACAATATTTCATAGTTATTTTCATACTAATTACCCATCCCAGTTGCCTACAAGTAGGCTACTGTCCATCTCCAATAAATTACTTTCTGTTTTTCAATACAGCACAAACTTCTCGGTTAAAATAAATGACTTCAATGGTATTTAGGAATACCTGATTTCTTCCCTTTAACCTTCCCACTTTTGTTAATGTCAATGAAGCATGCAGTACACAGAAGATGAGTAACTACCAGGCCAAAATAAAAGAGAGGTGTAATTTGTTTACCTGGTTGATTCTGATCACTCTCTATCTGATACTTGTTTTGGTTTGAGGACGACAGATTCGTTTCAACATTTTTATTTCCACCTTTAGATGGTTCATGATCGGCTGCTGAAGACGGGGCTTGGTCTAACAAGATAGGATTAGGAACATCACATTCTTCTTTATCTTTGTTTGGTTGATGGGGATTTTGTCCAGTATTTTGATACTTGTATAAAGAAGTATGCCGAACCAGTTCATTCATGACCTGATTAGCCCATATATGTCGCTCTTTCCTTTCTTGGATTTTCTTTATCTTCCAAATGCCTACATGTCATTCAACAGAAGAACATTAGGAGATGAGGCAACTGTTGTCCAAGAGATTAAATTTTTTCGCTTAGAAGGGTTCTTGGATGGGGAAGTGATGTGGTTTTAAACAAGCTTGCGTGTCTAGCTAGATGACGCAAGCTGTACTAGTTATTGATCGGGGGCTATGAATTAAGTTTGGTACTGACCAATTCCCAGAATAATTAGCATGGCCTTCATCATAAGCTTGAAGAATAGAATTAGTGAGGCGTAATTGGGCGGATACGAATAATTTCTTCCCCCCTGTTCATGTGGTTTGTTTGTACCTGCAAAGAGGCAGAAAAAAATAATGCTCAAGTAAAATCTACTCAGAACAATTGAGATGCCTAAAATGTCATCAGATGATGAAATAAAAAAAAATTTGAACAGTAATCCCCTATATTCATAACTCTAGAAGTTCAGAACTAGCAAGACCTTTTTTTCTTGATTTATTGTCCTAGAAGAAAATGTCATGGAGTTATGAAGCAACAAATTCTTAAAACATATTGACTACCTCAACAAGTTAACAGTGATCATGTTTCTTCATTAAGGAATATTTTTTCTGCCCAAAATAATACAATTTCAGAGATTAATTCACCATAATGTTTAGAAATAAAAAATTTACATGGCACCTTTTGATTCCGACTTCTTCACTGACGAAGATAATCCTGAAGTGCCTCCTGCTGCAGTAGCTCCAATCAGAAATATATCACATTTGACTTGAGTTTTAAATCCAAACAAACAGGTCTTTTCATTTAGTAAGGTTAATGTTATCTTTGTCTTTTTTTTTTTCTTTTTTTTTTTCTTCTTTTAATTGTAAGGGAATTTTACCATCAGTTGATCTTGAACTCTTTGCATCTGATACTCCTTTTGATTGTAATCTCATTGCAGAAGAGGATGCTTCTGGACTGGCCTCTGCAATAGTTGGGCTATTTAATCAACTGAATCTTTAACTTAATCATCTTCAAACTTCAACTATAATGTACAAACTGTTCAACTTCATCATCAGGTTGGTTTTTCTTTCTTTCATGTTAAAAATTAATTTACTTATTTTTTTTTAGGGAACGTCGCCAAGGCAATACTCAGTGATTAATTTATCACCTGCAGAAAAAATTGTGTCTTCCACAATGGAATCTGATAAGTGATATTTCAACTAAATATTTCCCATAAAAGGTTATGAGGATTACTTATCACTGAGCTGCTCCGTTGTTGGGGATTCTCTTCGTCATCAGCAGCATTTTTGCCAGTTTTATTTCCTCCATTAGCTCGAAGGAGTGAGCAAAGCTTCCAATTCTGGTTTCCTCGTGTGTTTGCTGGAAATCAAGAAACTAAATTAGACTTCTGGTACAAAGGTTTGGGGAAGAAAATACAACATATAAATTTCACAAGATTCACTTACTTAACACTTGAATGAAACTCCTCAGAACTCGAGCGAAGCTCATGCACGTTTCATAGTTTTCTGGATATTTAGAATTGTTTTGTGCTCCTTCGTTGTGCAGACAAGCTTCGTATTCATATGATTCCTCTTTGAGCTCTTCAACAATCAAACCTGACAAAACAAAATTGAAAAGTTCTTGTTAAATCTGAGAATTGAAAATGATGAACAAAAAAGATGGAGGACTTTCTTCTTATAATACCTAGTAATAGTAAAAATGCATACACTTTTATGTGTTCTTTAGTTATTTGTGAACATGAAACTGCAAATGCATGTGTTGAATCATCAGTTGAACATGTAGACATTTGAATTGAGTATAAAATCAAATTGGTGAGATAGAAATTCTTACAATGGTATATAATATGACCAGTCAGTCCAAGGCGACTACTGCTTTTGAATGCACTAGGCTTACTGGCCAGAATATGCAGGGGAGAGAAACCATTTTCATTCATAGAGTTAACAAGTTCCGGGTACAACCGAATAATCTGAAATGCCAAACCTAACCAAAATAAAAATAAGGAATTAAAAGTGGCATTATTTTCATTAATCTAAAATTATGTACTAATTACGTGGGGAAATTAAAACCAAAAAAATAAAAAATAAAAAAGAAGAAGAAGAAGATAGATAGCCTGCACTTACTGAAGTATTCACCAGAGATAGCAGCATGGAGAATGGTATCACCATGATTGTCTCTAAAGGAATGGTATTTTTCTTGGCAGTGAGAGTGAAGGCAAAGGAAAGCTTTAGTCTGGCCATTACGAGCTGCCAAGAAGAGAGGGGTCTCACCGTTGACGTTGCGAAGGGAGACAAGGCTGCGATCTTTGGTAACCATGCTTTGACACACTTGGGCATAGCCAAGCCTAGCAGCTAGATGGAGAGCTGTGTTGCCTTTCTCATTTCCTATTTTCAATATGTTTAAGGCATTTTCTCCATTGGCAATGATGTTCAACAAGTCCAGTGCGGTTTCTGTTTGGCCATCTGCAATTGCTATGTGTAGGGCAGTCTCTTTTGATTTGGTTATGTTGGCCTCTCGAGCCTTGGAACAATTTCTGTAGGTCTCCACCACCTTTCCCCACTGGCCTTTCATGGCATTTTCGAACAAGCTATCTACTTCCTCATATGAAGCCATGGTTGGGCGCTGTCTCTTCTCTAGTTAGGCAGCATATATATACTGCTATATATAAAGTGTAATAAATAAATAAAAAAGGATAAATACCAAATCAAAATTTGCTTAAGATACTTATTTCGTCTTCAATTCTTTGCCCTTTATTTACGTTGTCACTAGAAAGGAATAGTCAAAGAAAATACAAGAAAGCTTCACAATCTTGGAAAGTGTAGCGGATCAAGCACCGTACTGGATTACTACTAGTCCATCGCCATTCTGGTTAATTTAACCTATTTTTCTTCTCCCTCAAGTCATTCTTTTGTCCTATCAAATCCTCGGAGAACAAAACATGTTGACGCTGGCATCGACAAAACACACTTCTTTATTTTTCTTAATTATACTTTAACTGCATGCTTTAAAGTTAAACTGGGTAAGAAACACAAAAGTTTTTCACGATAACAACTAGCTGTCAAAGTATGTCTCAAACTTCTAGCTAGCTATTTCATGTTGGTTTTCTATTTTCAAAAGAATAGTTTATTAATGGGAAAGTGCCAATTTAGTTATTCCTTGTCCACCACCTAAGAATCACTTTAGAATTTTGTATATTGGTATTAGTCAGTTAAGAAATTGAAGTTCTTTCACAATATGGAAATAGATTGTGCCTAAGAGGGGCATAACAAAAAGTGCACGGGTATGAGAAGAGATCGAAGTTTGTATGTAAAGAAACTTGAGACCACAAGAACGAAGACTATTTCTCCGAATCTGTTATAGGATGTATCAAAAATAAGATTACACTTTATACAGGCTTTAAATTCAGGGAATAAAAACATATATGTAGCCACAACGGTGCAATATTTAGGACTCATTAAAACTAATCCTACATGTTACAAATCGAGTAGTTCGAGATAAGTATAGGGCAGATTTCATTGAACCAGTCGTGTCTTTATAACCAGATTTTCTATATAGGTTTGCAACTTTCATAAAGGCATACACGCCCTTCTCGGTAAGATCTTTGAGGGCAAAGTAACCCGAACAAGCATTCAAATAGCTGAAGAAGAGAAACTATCCACAGATCCAGAGGACATTCTAGCAAATATGCACTTGAGCACCTTTCTGAAAAGTGGTTGTGTTGCATGTGCCCATCACTTGTATGATTGTATCTGAAGGCTGCTCTCACAGATAAATAGGGCATCACCTCTCAAAAAAGATTTCAAAGGGACACTACTTCAATCAACCGTAGTCACTTCAACTGTCTCAACTTCTTTGTCGTATTTATAATGCTTTGGCTTATCTCTGGGTGTTCCAATTTTAACAGTTTCTCAAGTTGAAGAGCGGCTTCAGGGAAGCTATCCTCCTTGATACAAGAAGCTGAACAAAGACCAAAAATAACTTCATTGACGTCTTCTTCAAGCTGTAGGCAGAAAAGATGGCTAAACACCTGAAGAGAGATTAAATTGCAAATCAGAACTACTGCCATATGATTTTCCATACGGGTGTGCAAGAGTACCAAGCACAATACTATGCAAACAATCTAACAGGACAGAAGGAAAAACAAAATTTACTAACAGAGCATTCCAACCAAATTTTTTAGCAGAGGACATATGAGAATATTACATGTCTTCACACGCTGCATTAACTTGTCACACTCTAGTAGACAATTCTAAACTGATAATTGTGAAAGCAAAGTCTCGATTTTATTTTCAAATTGTATGCACATGTGTGAGTACATGTGCATTTATATATTGCTGCAATTGTGTGAATGGACTTGCCAATATGGTATTTGAATACCAGTCACTGAAAGGTAAACAAAGTGCAGCTTAGCAACATATGACTAATGACCAAAAAAAACCTACTCAAGACTAACAACAGCACCCATCCTTTTTACCACCATCCTAATCCCACATACTGCACATTTTTCATTCAAGTGACTGTAAAAAGGAGATTTAAAGCATAGATGGGTCTGTTAGACAAATATCCTGGAGATAACATATAACAGAACTTATATATGAACAATAATGAACATTAATTTCCTATTCTCACCACTTTCATCCTTGAAATAACAGTGTCTTTAATGGCTTGTGACCGTGACACCAAATTAATAATAAATAGACCTTTCCCAGAAAGTGCATCCTTTACAGTCTGAAGAAATGTCTCCTGCACAAAATCTGCTGCAGGACAGGTCATCCCAGAGCTGTACACAAAAATAAACAAATAACTTATTAGAATATGAGGGCCCAGTCTTTAAAATCCGTATTGCTTCTTATATTGATCAATATACTTGTAAACTAGGTGCAGTCTGCATTCACCTTGAGTCTGCAGAATCCACATCAATAATAACTATGTCAACCTTCGAAGGCACCTTGCCTTCAACATGTGATTCTAAGCAGCTCCTATTGGAAGAAGTGGGCTCTGTATAGCAGTGAGCACCTTCCTTCTCTTGAACTGCAGAAATTTCATCAGCTGCAGCAGAATTTGCAACATTTCTAACAAACTGAATACCATCAGCAATGTGCACCTGATACACCAAAACAAATCTAAAATGTGATAAATATTGAATACATTACAACTTCAGGATGAGAAGGATCTCAAGGTAAGTACAATCTCATTTATAGCTTATGTTTATATCCAGGAGCTTTGTTTACATCTAAGGTCCTTTTCAACATGCACTCCAAAACAAACAAACAAAAACCACTAAATTCAGCCTCTGTTTCCATGACCAACGAAGGAAAGTAAACCATTCTAGTAAATTATCAGATCAAAACTTTATAAAGTTATCCTTCAACCTAACAAAGACGGGAAAGTAAAATATCATTTTTCGCAATGCCATTGTAGCCCCTAATTTAAAGGTGGCATCTTAGGGCTACAGAGTGAGAAGATATTTGCATATAACAAGAAAATGCAAGTGGAAGAAATAAAGGATTTGGTATATGAGGTTAACATGAAAATTGCAATGCCAACTGCCAACTAGTAGACTAAAGCACATTAACCAGACAGAGACAAGGGACAAAGAAAAAATCATACCACATCAATAGACACTGACACATAAGAACTCAGTATACTAAGACACTTTGTGCTTCTTTACTCAAGTTTTTTGGCAACTTGGAACACAGAGTTGCATGTATTCTTTTTCTTAAGAGATTATAATTGTAGCCAAAGAACCATACTCAACTCCACTCAGCCCTACTGCAATCAAAGGGATAAATTACGTTTCTTGCTAGAGGTGCCACTAGTTTGCTATGTAGGAATGAAGAACTTGGAATTTCTGTTTACATAATTTTATAGTATGAAAAGAAGCAAACATGAAGTATAGTGAACTACCTGCAAGTGATCATCTTCAACAAAACTGAAGTATTCTTTTGCAAGTTTGAGGACTACAGGATCCAACTCCACCACCTGTAAATATAATGATTAAGTACCACATTCCACTAAATGATTTTATTAAGAAAACTCATCTTCTTTTATTTCTTTTCTTTTTTCTGGGAGATGGCTTAAGCCTAAAATTACCTCAGTGTGCATAAAGGGCATACATCTATGAAGGAACATAGGGAGTAAACCTGCTCCAAGACCAATTACAACTGCTTTGACCTGAGAAAGCATTAGTAGTGTGAAACAAAAGAACCATCAATGTCACAAAAGGAATGACAAGAAAATTCAAATATTTTACATTAGTGCAGACAAATGAATATGCAGCCATTAATAGATGAACAGGGAAATTGGACAGCTGAGCTTGGACAGGTCAATTTTTCCCATATAAAAAGTTCCCCACATAAATAAAGCCCAACACCGTATATAAACATTTTTACAGTCAGAACATGATTGATATTTTTTATTCAGGCCAACTACAAACACAATAACAAGAAGAAGAAGAAGAACAAAAAGAAATCCCCTAAACAGATTAGACAAGAATTCTACAGGGTCCAAATAGAAGCCAAAACTGCACAATTGCAAACGGGTAACCTCTTGTTCTAACGCCTAGGAAGACCTCACACAACAAGAAATAGCACTTTCTTGGAGCAACCCACTCCACATAAAAAACAAGCAATTGTCCACTCACAAATGAGATGAACAGTGTAAAATAATATTCTAAGCCAATCTACCCTAAACATTAACTGTGCGCACCAACTAGAAGAAAAGGAATATAGGACCTTTTGATTCATTTTACCACAAGCCACTAGTGAGAATTTGAACTTAAATAGGTACAACAATCCTAAAAATTTTATTATAAGAAACAAAAACAGGATCATGTGGCATGACTAGACTAACTCTTTTGGCAGACCGCATGGAACATTCAGAAGTATTCGAAATCCGATACAACAAACTAGCAAACTCTATGAGTTCCCCCCTATTATTTAGATTTCTTCTAAATGTTTAATTCTTAGAAGTAAGAAAGAGCTAAGGAGGAAACTACAATTGAAACTAAAAGTTTAGTTCTTGTTTCATTTTATCCAAATTTGGAGCATAAAGCTACTAGAAGCTGATCCATTCCTTTTACCACCAAGCAAGGCCTTGGCTAAATGCTAGTCAGAATTTATAGTGCTTACCGATTTTTGAGTTGACGCCATGCTTTCCAAATAAGATGAAATCAACATTAACCCAGAAAGAATCCCTGTATGATAAGAACTAGCCAAATACCCATGATAGACCTTCAGCTGGTGGCTCGTTTCTATAAAATAAAAAATAACACAAAAAATAAGAATCAACGCGATAACACAAAGGATCAACTTAACCCAAATTTTAAACAATGATATTCTTCTACTACACTGATGGAACATGATAAAGAGTTACAAATCTACAGCGAAGTAAACAATAAAAATAGAAAATAGAAAATGACAAGTATATCAGGACAGTGTTTAGCACTAAAATGTTCATTTAAGAATTTGTATTTGGTTTTCACAAGACCTTAAATTTTGACCATAAGTGAATAGTATTACTGTTGGGAGTGTTCAAGTTATGCCATCATAAATTCTTTTCATTCTGACCATGACAGCATCCACCTCATGCGAGAAGCCAAAATCTGTACTGCTACACATAAAGATACATACTACTCAAAATCAAGCACACCAGTACACCAGGTTCAATGAAAATTTAAAGGTTCTCAAAATGCATGTATATTCACTGTGCTATATTAGTTTGAACTTTTAGTATGAACTGAAAAGGAAAATTCCAGAAGCATTTTTCAGAAGAGTTTGTTTACACTGCATAAATTTGATTACATCAAAGATTTCAAATATGAATACCGGGGTATTAGTGAAGGGAATTGCCTTACCACCCACTTCTCGGACTTGCCAATTTTTGCATAAATGGGATAAGGGAAAAACTATTTCTTATCTTTTGAAATTTGCTTTCGCACCCCACAGTACTTTATTTCATTATACTCATGATCGCAATAAGTACTTTTTACATATATAGTTTTACCATTGTATGTATAATGGTAACAGCCTCAAATTGTCAACTGCAAGTCCACGGGCTCAAATCTCAAGAGCTACAAATTTATTTTAACAGAAATTGAAAAAAAATTTAGAGAAGGTGGAGATGTTTTGATCTAAAGAGATTTTCATGTTCCGTCAATAGACAACTGACAGGACATTAAAATTATATCATGCATGGAACAAAACTATCGAGAAGGAAAGAAACACAATTTAAACTATAATGGCAAAGACAGAGATCAATACCACCAGTTCTTCTCTGGATTCCTCTTCTTTTAGATTTAGAAGATGAGTTTGTCTTTTTCCTCTCAGTCTCACCAACTTTATTGTTGGATCCTTCCTCAGATAGAAGAGCTTCAGACTGAACCAGACCCTCACTTCTTTGGAAAACAAGGCGACGAAATGTCAAATCTCTGGATGGTAGAATGCGACTGATATCACCATCAACATTTTCATAAATCACATCCTCAACTATAACTGGTCCAGTTATTGTAGATGTGACCTGCATATGCATGCAAGAGAGGACAATAAAAATGCAGAGCATGTTTTCATTTACTTCAGAGTCCAAAGCTACAACATACACATGAATAGCTAGCTTGCTATCTGGGGAACAGTCACCACCACTAAGGCTAAAGGTACTTTACAAATGACCTTGTTAGGTGTAGGTTATTGATGAGCTCGTGAAATGATTAAATGCTAATAATAACTACTGAAAATATGTCAAATTCTGTTAACCTTTACTTAGATATTAAATTTAGAAACACTTCAAATGGTACTATCCACATATCATTTATTCATTCCATTTGCATTGAGAACAGACGTAAAAGTAATGGAATTTGCATAATAATTTCCACGACCTCTTTCCAATTGTAAACAAGTAAAATCAATGTCCTAATAGTTCATACAAAGTAGTCATACACACAATGAAAATGCTATAACATTTAAAAAGGAAAAGAAAAAGAACCTGGTGAACAATGTTTCTTTGCTTGATCCCATCACTTGCCATCATGAACCTGCAAAAGCAACCAGCCAATATAAACGTATAAGATAAATGCTTTGAGCCATATAGAGTAATTAAAAAAGCGTCATGGAATAAAAAATATATTTTCTTAAACTTTTGTATTGCAATACCACAAGAGGGCATTGAAAACATAAAAGAAATTAGTTATATAAACTTAAAAGGTGTATCAGACAAGCAACTGTCAACACTACTTGTAGACATTGAGTTCATACAGGCTTGACCAATTGTCTTCTTAGTTTTGTGCCTAATCAAAATATTCAAAACATAATTATGGCATGGGGCTAATAATGATCTTGTATAAGCATGGTACACTATGATAAAGTCAACGAGCCAAATAAGTTGCATATTAATTGGCTTCATACAATTGCAAATTTTAAGCATTGCAGTTTAGAACCAAAAACTTAAGTACTTATGCAGTTGTGACCCACATATATATATAATCTAAGAAATTATGTCCAACTGGAAATGAGTTTTGTATCATTAATTCTTGGAAAACATCAAGGAACCAAGAAAGTTCCATAACGTGCTTCAAAGTATAGTATTAGCACCGTTAGACTTTTGCCTTACGCCCATTGCTTCAAAAACTAATTTGGAGGGTATTGATTGATAGACATGCAGAGGACAAAATCACAACAGGATGTGCTGGAGTACAAAACGAAAAGTGATGCAAGTACATACGGAATCTGAGCACCACTGTCATCTTTCCCAGGTGCCAATTGTTTAACCAAGGGGGATAAATCCTTCTGAAGAGAAGACCAAGAAAAGATATTAAATAACCAAAATTAATAGGGTTAAATTGTCATAACTGAGAATGCCTCATAAAATGATTAGGACAAAGAAACATTACCTGAATATCATCCATGCTGGCACTAACATGGCTGGCATCTAATAATACCTTAATTTAGCACATACGATTTCATTTAGGAAACCAACAAAAAGAATAACCCCTGAAAATAAGGATCACAGAGATCTTAAGATTGTAATTGAAAGGTACCATTACTAGACGAGCTGCCTTCGAGCTTTCTACTACCATCCATTGTCCTTCTTCTGAGGAGAAGAGCCATTCATGAGCCCGAGTCTGAAATCAAAAATTTATTTACTTATTATAAGAAGAACTAATGGACAAGTTGGGAATACAGAGAAAATAGTTTATGACAGATGCATCAGGAAAAATACAATCATAAAATGTTATGATTTTCTCATACATTTGAGCCCTCCATGCATATAAATAAAAAACCAAAGGAGCAGAAGAAATAAAGTAAGAAAATAATAATAATTTGGTTTGTTGACGACTTCTTTTTTTTTTTTTCACTTTCTTCCATAAGACAACCATGTCACCTATAAGTAAAAGCGTGTTTCAACCGTAGCGCTACACATTTCCCCAAAATATGGTGAAACTCCATATAGAAATCCCAATGTACAAACAACCATATATGCACATAATGTAATATCCTACATTATACAACCATATATGCACATAATGTAATATCCTACAATATTTAGAGAGAGAGAGAGAGAGAGAGAGAGAGATAGATAGATAGATAGATGTTTTCCATAGAGGATATTGCTGATGTTGGCAAGATAATAGATCAAACTAGGTTGAACCTGATGTTGAATGGCAAGATGCTACAGCCAATTGAAAGCATGATGCATTTCCAGAATAAGAAGCATACAACTGTAAGCATTAGCATCAACTATGGTTTTATGAGATGAACCAATTTCATAAAAGTCAGCCAATTTCTTTTCTTCTTTTCTTTGGTAGGATATAATTTGACCAGTTATAAGAAATGCTTCAATTTTTCAATTTCAATCCACATGGATGCAGAAGAGAGACAAAACATAGTCAAAATAACTCTACTTTGGATCAAAATTTCCATTAGCTTTATGTGTGTGCACACTTACGGTACCATGCAGTGCATTGACCAGAGAAGTTCACTAAGACAAACCTTAGGCACAATAAAAACCCCACAATGATATGCAAATGGACCAGATGATTCCTGGGCATCAAGAACTACAGCTCTATAACTGAAACGGGAATCACCACCCAAAGTAAGCTGAAAACGATGACCTGGGCAAAGCTTAGTCAAATCCCCTCTGGCTCCAAGTTGCAGTTCTTCAAGAGAGTATAATACATCTGAACCAGTGGAGTAATCTCTACGCATTTGATTCTCCTTTTCAACAGCTTCAAGAAGTCCACAAGCCTAAATCCACAACCAGTAGCTTCAGTCAATCTTTTGAGAAACTAGTTTCCCAAGGTCTACATAACCGAGCTTACATCATACAAGAAAGGTTGTAAAAAGTATGCACTAATAATATTGCAGAGACACAAACCAGCAGCCTACTACTACTAACACCGATAGAGTCCCCAACCTAACCACATGCATAGCGCAGAAGGTGTGGGGTTTTATCACAAAAGACTTCAGTGTTCTTAGTAATGGAACCACTCAAATATATATTGCACATTATTTTTCAATTTCCCCATGTGGTTTTTTTACATTCTTCAACATGCACTTCCTACTTCCCATATGGTTGAAAGGCTAAACACTAAACACTATTCCTCCACAACTAGTTATTCAATTGTAACCTTTTATTGTGTAAGAACTCTAAGTAAATAAAATATATTATTGCTGAAAGAAGGCATTTTGCTTCAACAAAGACATGCACTCCAGATATCTCACCTGACTTCCCTTTAAAGCAAGGGAAGAATCATTGAAGGATGATGTGATCTCCTGCAACACACTGGAAACCTGTTTCTCAGCAACCACCATAAATGCTTGAAGGCTTGGCTTACTAGACGGTTTCTGAGGTATGGCATGAATACCCATTTTCCACCCAAACCGAAACTTAGAGAAAATCAAAGCTGGAATTACAATAACCAAGATAATTAAGAGTTAATATTTTTCTTAAATGGAACTAAAGCTGAACAGCAAGCAATAGCAAGTAAAAACAGTACCAAGAACATGTGACTCTGCCAATGTAAGGCAAATAAATTTTCCCCCAGACTTCAAAACTCTTCTCACCTGAAAAATTCAAATACAATTCCCACATTCCATTACCACCGAAACATAATTATTCATAACATGTTTTTTGAGGCAAAAAAGAAAAAGAAAAAAAAAGGACACCTCTGATAAATACTGAGTCCCAAGCTTAGGGCCAAGCTCTGGCTCCATCAAAGCATCCAATCCACCTTTATCAACAACAACATCAAATGCCTCGTCCTCAAACTGTAAATTTCGTAAACACAAGACAAAATTTCTTTTTATAAAAACATTTTATGATTGTTCAGTTAAAGAGTTAAAATCGTGGGAAGTGTACCTGCATGGCGGTCATGTCCATGACGCGCCAGCGCATATCGGGCCTATGGCGAACATTGCGGCGGAGGCAGTCGGAAATGGCGACCTTGGAGAAGTCAATGTTGGTGATGGAATTGAAACCGGCGTCGTATAGGTGCTCGGAGAGGCGGGAGCTGCCGCAGCCGGGAACGAGAATTTGGGGTTGCGGAGGGAGGTGGGAGAGCAAAGGGTTTCTGAGCTCAGACCACTCGGCGTACCACTCGAAGGCGTCGTCGGTGCCTCGGATGGTGAAGAACTTGTCCCAATTCTCTTTGCTTGTAAAGTCTCCTAGGGTTCCCAGTAACTCTGCTAGCTGCTCCTCCTTCTTCCCCATTTTGCGGCTTCTCTGCAAGCGTGTTGTCAATGCTGGGTTTATTTGGGGTTTGGCTTTGTCCTTGAGTGGATGTTGCAGTAAAATCGAGTACAAAAATGCACAAGGAACGTACATAATACGTTCTAAAATACGTACATGTATTTGTCAATTTTCTTTTTAAAAAATTGTATGACCGTCATTATAGAAAAATTAAAATGTATTCATTTAATTATGTTATTTGCATTCTTTTTTCAATAATATTCTTTAAAAAATATGTAATGTTCATGAAAATATGTGCATATATAATATTCGCATCCAAAAATATATATTTTTCATATTTTTTTGAAGTATATGTGAGATAATAGTATTTTTTAAAGATACATATATATGTGTATAATACACGAATTTACTAACTAGTTCCAAAAGATATAAAAATAAATGGGTTGGCTTTTCTGGGTTGAAGTGTGAGACGGTGAGATTTTTTCCTCCAATGCCTTGACCAACTGATCCAACCAAGATGGCTTATCCTCCCCAACCTGGGTTGAAGGGTATTTACGACACAACGCACTAAATTTTCCAATGATTTAATAGTTTATATATTTAGACGTGATGCAAGTCTGATCGAACTTGAGTAGAATAATTTCACACGACAAGTTGCAACTAGCGTAGGACTTTTTGTAGTAATGAATTGAGGAACAAAGTGCAAAAAAACGACGTAGAAATTAACCAAATTACTTCTTAATGAACAAGGAGCTTGCAGATTGCAAAAAAACAAACCAACAAGGACAAAATACAGATATATTATCCAAATTAAATTAGAATTCTCCCTATTTTTCTTTTATGAAGCCCACAAAATCTCGAAGTGAATCATGTACGTTATTTCTTGTTTTATACAAGTTCACGTTGTTTTTAGTTTTTTGTTTTATACAAGCGATATTTTGAGCTACAAGCTCTTTGTCGCGTGCACCTTTTTCATTTTTTTTGTTATAACTTATATTTTGTGATGATAACTTCACACTATATATTCTAAGAATTTATCATTACACAATCGTTTGATCAGTGCATAAATACCCATTTTCCAACCAAGCCGGAAGTTGGAGAAGAGCAAACCTGAAGATATATGTTTATTGTATGTAGGAACAAAAACAATCATCTGACAATTCTACATGTAAATCCTTGATTGAACATTTGTTACATTCTAAATTTTTATTCGGGCCCTTTGACTTTCGTCAACGTCAGTATGCATAACATGAATCAATCTAGTAATGTGCGCTCTGACTTTGAAGGTATACTACTTGGTTAGTATGACTGTCGATTCTTTATGTGTAGAAGTGCTCGTCTAATCCTCTGTTGCCTTTTCTCTTCTTTTCTTTTTTTCTTTTTGCCACAGTTTTAAATTATTATTATCACCTTGGTATAAAAAAAAATTTCCACAAATTCCCTAAACTAACATTAATCGGTGCATTAATTTAGTGGTAATAATTAGAGTAATTTCATAATAAAGAAGAATCTATGCCGGCAACTAATGCAGGAGTATAGGGGTGGATCAAGATAGATATTTATCATTTAATTAGTTATTTCATGATATATTATTATTTTCTTATTTAGGTAGTTTTATGATATCTTTTATTATTTATGTGTGACTTTATAATTAATTAGTTTACTTTTGGACCAAGCAGTCTTGGTGCCCAAGTTTTGTAAAGCCTATAAATAAGGCTATTGTAATAGTTGTAGAAAATATAATATTGATGATTAATGAAATAGTTTATTTGTGGCACGGATTTGCTACGATATATGTGAGTTTGCACTAGCCCTAGATTTCGGTGCTTGTGTATGTGGTTGGTGACCTGTATCCTGATCTCGATCCCCATCAGCAACACAAGCGGTTTAATCAAGATTCTAAAACATGAAAATATTTAGTATAAGAAATAAGAGTAGAGGCATGTAAATTAAAATGCCCTTGTAAACTAAAGATTGATTATCTAATGAAATTCTTCTTTGATAAAATTAAAAAGAGACTATACGTACCCAAAACATCGCAGAAACCCCATGTAAAGCAAACAAATTTTCCTCCCGATTTTAAAACTCTATTTACCTGGAAATACAAAATTAGTCCTTTATGAGAAATTAGCCTAAGTGCTAAAATAGCGAGTACTGATTAAAAAGAAAAAATCTGGCTACTTAAAATTGAGGAGGAGCTCCTCAATAAAACCAATGTGGTTTTGACACTCGAAAATTCCTCTAGAATTTGAGAAGTGCCAAATTCACATTGGTCACAACAGTTTGCAGGTTGTGGAAACTGAAATATAAGGAGGATGTGACTGTGAAACATCATGCAAATTAATCAAGTCCACGATACCTCTGATAAATATTGATTCCCCTTCTTAAGGCCAAACTCGGGCTCTATCAAGGCATCCAATCCACCTTTGTCAACAACAACGTCAAAGCTCTCATCTTCAAACTGCAAATATAAAGTAAACATGTATCGGTTTTTGTTTTTTTTGTTTTTGACAATGCGATATTCTAAATTATTCTAATATACTTGAATGAGGATCGAACTCGAGTACAAAAAGATTGGCACATTGTCTTGATCAACCGGACTAACAATACAAAAATTTCATCAAGTTGTGAATAGGTAATTAATTTTATTACCTGCATGGTGGTCATGTCCATGACTTGCCATTTCATACCAGGGCGTTGGCACGCATTGCGTTGCAGCATATCGGACACGGCAACCTCAGAGAAGTCAATGTTCGTGATGGCCTTAAACCCAGCGTCGTAGAGGTGATCAGAGAGGTTGGAAACGCCGCAACCCGGAACGAGTATTTGCAGCGGTTGGGTTTGGGACTGGAGCTTCGAGAGGTGGGCGAGGAGTGGGCCTCTGAGGTCGGCCCACTCAGCGTACCACTCGAATTCGTTGTCACTGCCTCGAATGGTGAAGAACCTGTCCCAGTTCTCTTTCACTGTGAAGCCTTCTAGTGTTCCCAATATATCCTCTACTTGCTCCAGCTTCGGCATTTTTCTTTTTTTTAATTTCTATCTCTGTGTGTGTGTGTTGCATTTGAGCTTTTGGTTCCTTTTATAAGCGAAGGGCATTTGAAAACCAAACCAGGTGTTGGTAAGATAAACAGTTGTTGCATGCATTTGCTACGTGGGGTTTTGCATGTGTATTGCCTTTACGTCATGCATACAAGTGCCCTGGTTTTGCGTGATGTACTTACCATGTGTCTTGTCTAATTGTTCAATCAATGTGGTACAGTTGTTGTTGTGCTTGTTTGAAAGCCAAACCAAATGTTGTTTATTTGTTGCATGCTGGGATTTAACCAGCTTTTGCCACCAGCGCCATCAACTTTGCCACCGTGGGGTTGCATTGCATGTTGCACTTTGCATATTTATAGCGGGAGTGGACTCTTCTTGTCTCTAAATTTTGGGCTTTCAACTAAAGACATACAAACCATATATATTCTTATGGTTCTAACCCATTGGCGTTATATCCTTTGAGTTTCATACGAAAACAAACACACGAACACAAAATAAAAGAAAGAGATACATCATATATCCCATGAGTTCCACCTTATTCTGAAGTCCCAACCGCGCCAACTTATTGTTCTCTTTTAGCAAATGTAGATCTAGTTCCAACTTTGCAGATCTTCAGGAAGAGATTAGCAATACCAGAACCAGTACTAGTGGAGGAGTATTCTTTACGAATTCGATTCTCATTTTCAAGAGCTTCAAGCTGGAGTCTACAAGCCTGCAACTACAAACCAAAGCTTAGGAGAAATTCATTATCGCCTCAACACGTGCCACGTGTTCCAACAATCGTTCTTGAAAATGTGCAAGGGGTTTGTGACGGGGGCAATTGCTCACATTCTTGAGGTGACGATAACACGATTCATATGATGTTATTAATTCACACATTATAATATAGGTGGAAAATCGGTTTAGATTTTAAGGTATAGAGTTGTAATAAATAAAACACGCATTATGATATGAGTGTGGACTCTAACACTATGATGCGCCCAAATATAGTAAAAGGACACCAAAGAAAATGCAAAGGTCTAGTTTAGATTATCGCTTGTACTCGAAAAAAGAAAATGCAAAGGTCACATTCTGAGACGACATTCACCAATGCAATGATGTGATGATAATTCATGCATAACCATCATATCATTATTATGCTAATTGTTAACATGTCACTATATCATAACATGGGTTTAATTATCATAGTATTTTAGTTAGTCTCAAACTGTTAATATCTGAATCTACCCTTACTTTAAAAACTCATTATCTCCTGATTTCCATAAGTAGTGTTGAGTGATGATGATGTTGTAATCTGATGCAATATTGCAGTAGCCATCTGATCTTTTCTGGCAACCACCATAAAGGTTTGAAGGTTATTACGTTTGGTAGTCAGCTTCAGAGGTATGGGATGAATATCCATTTTCCAACCAAAGAAAGTTGGAGAAAAGCAAACCTGCACAGAAGCATTAATCTGCATGCCTATATTCTTAATTAATTTGGATACAGGAAGTTCAAGCTCGAGACTGTGTACCTAGAACATCGGACCATGCCCAGGTAAAGCAAATAAATTTTCCCCCACACTTCAAAACTCTGTTAACCTGGAAAAGAAAACCAGAACATTATATTGAAAAATTAATCAACCACTAATACTAAGTTGGAAAATTTATCCATTTGATTAAATATTTAATCAGATAAGCCAACTGTTTTGATAAGAATTAAATGTCTAGTGGTTTCCGATATTTTATGCAAGCATGATCGTGAAGTGGAGACTTAGAAAATAAATGGTTTGGATCCTCGAATGACAATGCACAATGAGCCACACAAAATCCCTCAATTCGAAAGATAAGCTCACTTTAGATCCCTAGTCTAGAACAAAAAAGCCTACTGTTTTTCCGAATTTGAAGACGTTTCAGTGACCCAAATTTCCTACCTTAGTACCATTTGCTATTGTGAATTTATTTGTTCTGCAATTGTATATGTATTTTAAATTAATACATGTATAAAAACTATAGTATTTACCCTAAAATCTAAATGCCTCATAAATATATACAAGTATAATGTTCTAAATCACAAAGTCGAAGAGATATACCTCTGCTAGATATTGATTGCCCATCTTTGGGCCAAACTCGGGCTCCATTAGAGCATCTAATCCACCTTTATCCACAACAACGTCGAAGCTCTCATCCTCAATCTGTAATTAAATTAAATTATACATAAGCAGTTAATCAGTATTAATTATTTTGCATGCATGCACTGACTCGCTCTTTAAAATATATATATATATATATATATATATAATATATACAAGGCTAGGGTAAAGCTGTTCTAGTTATCGACCAATTTGAATGAGAAGCTAACAAAGTAGGTTGCTCTTAATCAGTTGAATTACAAGTCTCTTATAGTGATTCGTTTTTCTGTACATTCCGAGTCAATTAAAGTAATTACGTATACCTGCATGGTGGTAATGTCCATGACTTGCCATTTCATGCCAGGGCGTTGGCACGCATTGCGGCATAACATATCGGAAATGGCAATCTCAGACAAGTCAATGTTGGTGATGGCCTTAAACCCGACATCGTAGAGGTGCTCGGAGAGGAGGGAAGTCCCACAACCCCGCACGAGTATTCGGAGTGGTTGGATTTGGGAGTCGGGTTTTGGGAGGTGGGAGAGCAGTGGGGCTTGGAGCTCAGACCAGTCCTCGTACCACTCGAATGCATTGTCGCTGCCTCGGATGGTAAAGAACCTGTCCCAATTCTCTTTGACTGTGAAGCCTTCTAGGGTTCCTAGTACCTCCGCTAATTGCTCCGACTTCCCCACTTTTCTGTGCTTGTCTTGTGTGTGTGTGTTTTGCATTTGAGTTTTGCGTTCGTTTTATAAGTGAAGGGAATTGCATGTTGAGCTTTCACCAGCTGAACTGAAGGCCACCACCACAAATTTGCCACGTGGAGTTTTGCATGAGGAACCATCTGTCTTGACAGGTCATGTTAGAGATAATATTATTTTCTATTTGGGGCGACGAGAAGCTCTTTGGTGTTTTCCCTATATATATGCGTTGTGTGTTGCAGTTGGGTTTTACATGTTGGTTCTCTCTTGCATATACATTATCAGTACCTAATTAGTTTTGCATGACGTAGAGCATAACAATATGTTAAGAAAATTGTGATTGTGGCCAACAAGGTTTTGTTTGTTTCCCCTTGTTTGTTGCAACCGGTTTTTGGGACCGGAAGCCTCTTGCACTATTGCATTTGCATTGAACACCCAATCCATCTCATAGGGATATCGTTGCGGCGGTATTCAAATCACACAATAGTTTGTTTTAATTTTTTTCACACAAACGCGTGATTGATTTGAGATACCACCATTAATGATGTTCTCGGTGTAAATAAGTTTCTCTTGCGCTTCAATCACATCATCATAAGTCAATTATCTTTACGGTGCTACAACACAAGGTCCAATCTTTTTCATCTTTCTCTAGTCACGCTTGTTCCGCTTTCCTTCTTAGCCAAAACATAAATTATGATCTTTCGTCCGCAAATGATTTTCGCAAATTCTTATCATATTGTCATCTCTTTTTTCTTTTCCCACATTATGTATCTCAATTTCATATGTTTATTATCATTACGTAAGAAAATTCCATGCATTATAATTAATCATACATACATACAAGCAACAATATCTTTGAGGAAATCTTATGACATGAAGAATACTAAGTTATATCAAATGAATATTGAAAACGAAAAATAGAAGGGGGTGAAGAATATATACTGAGCGTTGTATGAAATGATGTGACCGAAATGTGCACAAAAATCATTTCCTCCAAACTCTTGCAATTGATCAAATAATTTGCTCTAGTGTCAACCCCCAAAAGCCAGCAAACGAAAGCGACAATGTCTCTTTTAACCAAAAGATATTTTATTTGCAGTGCACATGTGATGTACGAGAATATTTGCAATTTGGACAGTTCATGAAATTCATAAAGCAATGCGTGGCGCGCACTGAACAAGTGGTCCAAGCAAGGCTTCCACGTATGCCGATCAAACGACACAGATTCCTTTTACCATTTCAAGCATATTTATTTTCTTTCTAATTTGTACTTGAGAAAGTTGAAAGATGTAGACGTTATTTCCTCTGATTCTTTTAGATTCAAGATACTCAATCTGATTTGGCCACTTAATTTTCCAATTTTGTTTTAAATTTCAAAGAGAAGGACAACACATGAATATCGCATATTAAATAAGGGTATGTAAAAGTTCAGTAATTCATACCCAATCAATCCACCCACTCTGATAATAAGGTAAATTTTTCAGAAACGTGCAGCGACCCACTACTAACGAGAAATTATAGAATACTATGGTAGTACGGCCAGGTAGTACATTGAGTTATATTTATTGATGCTATTCCCTAAAAGGGGAGAAAATAAACTTTGTCATCTACTCATATTATAACACGCATGTGTACAAAATGTACCACATGACCATACTACAGTAATATATATATCCTTTACTAAAGGCTTGGAGATTAATTTGGGGCTCGTTCTCTATTATTTAAATTTATCACGAAACAAATCCTCTGCTTAATTTTGCTTTCCTAGAATTTGCTCGACATGAAAATATATGACCTTTAAAATCCCAAAGCAAAGGACACAATTTAAATCCATACACAGAGACAAAATAAAATAATTAGTACATGCAGGAGAACAACTTACACAACACACTGATAGAGGGCCAAGTGATACATGCACAAACATGGTTTGCTTTCAATAATTCAGTTGGGAAGGGTAATCTCTCCCCCTATATACGACTGACTAGTGTCACCGAATAGTCTCTGTCTTGGATGTGCAACTTATTCATTCCCAATTATATTTGTTTGAATTAATGCTGTGGCGGTTTGTTTGTGCTGGTGAAGTATTCAAACAATTGATGTAGAGCGTTTGTAAAGGTTACCTGCAGTCTGAAAAAGTATTCAAACATTTAAGGCAAAAAATTTGGAAGAGATATAAAGTTTGGTTGATATTGATTACCACTAGGTGGCAAGATGTCATGCTGCCACATACTGTATGTCAAATGCAAGCAGGTATAGGGAGGGGATAGGGTGTGAATAAATTAATGGAAGAAAGAAAATGACAAACAATTGTGGATATTTTCAACTCAATTGAATACATAAGAGATTAAAAAAAATAGATTTTTATGAATAAGTCTATTTTAGCATATGACATATTATATAAAAACCTATATCAAGTGTATTTGGAGAGAAAAACCTAAAACTAGTCATTTGTTATTTTCTAAATGATCTTTAGTGAGTTAAAATTTTCTAAGAACCAATTTGAAAATAACAAGTGACTAGTTTTGAGTTTTTCTCTCCGCCCATAAAAAAAAAAGGGAGATTCACTATTATACCAATATATGGACCTGATTATAAAAAAAAACCTATATGAAATGGATTTTAGAAACACACTCATAGCCCATTTACAACATAACAAAGAGGCTTCAAACTTTCTATAAATTAAAAAACTGTCATCGATTTCTTAAAACAAGCCCAACCCTAAAACCTCATTATAAAAAACCCAAAGCACTCAAAAGGGTATCAAAGTAATTTAATAATCAAAATTAAATTCAATAGGGTCAGCTGTCATTTTTTGGGTTTGTTTATAGAAATTAACTGGTGTATGATTTATTTATATCACTAGTGCTAAGAATGAGTATATAACTAAATATATCAAAAAATAAAATAAAAAAATTGGGGTTTTAATGCTCTTTATTGGAATAGTAACGATGAAATTGGGATAATTATGAAGTTACAAAAAATAATCCTGTATTTTCATCAAATGGGAGGTTTATGTATAGTAGTGTACATGAACAGTCTGTTTCTTTGATTTAAAAAAATTACTAGGGATCTATAAATTTCAAGCAAAATTTGCAGTTATACTTGGACTTGCAATCATCGGTGCCAAGTAAAATCCATTTGAGTCATTCGATGGCAGTTCATGTCCCATCCAGGTGGAAGTTGAGGATGAAAACGTTGTTTGAATTATTCGACAACGTTGTACGAAAATGGTAAACAATGTTCTCTACTTTACTTTTCTTACAAGTAGGGATCATCTTTTTATCAACTGGAGGATATGTGAACTTAGGATCTCTTTCATTATTGAAAAAAACTACTACTAGAATTCAAGTTAATTAGAATACTTTAATTAAAGTTATTTTTTAAGTAAATAAATTGATGCCAAAAAGAACAAAGGGGAAAAACCCAACAACAAAAATATAAATGGGTTGAGTTATTGTGACTTTTTAAAGTAAATTTTTGGAATCGCCATCATACTGCACATGTGGTGTTATACAAATCTACTCATTTTATAATATGCGTATCTATTTATCTATATATATAAAGCAAAAGACAGAGAATAGTGAAACATTCAAAATACCAGTAAATGTCCTTGATTAATTCAATCATTAAGAATTGAAATTATTAATTAAATGATGATAATATGGTAAATTCACATTTTTTCATATTTAAAAAATTAAAATTAAAAACAAAATCAGATAATAGGTCTTACTTTTAAGGAACATAACTACCCATGTTATCTTTTCTTAATTCTAAAAATAAAATAAAAAATAAAAAATAAAACAGAAAACCAATTGTCACATGCGTGAGTATGTGCCAAGGGGCTAGTTAATATTATACATGACATATCAATTATGTCGTCCGTTCATATTATAAATTAGTAACAACATTATGGTATCACAGTAACAACAGAAAAATCACCATTTCATTAATTGTTACATAATTAATGAAATATACTACTATTGAAAATATTAACTCTTTTATAAGAAATGATATTGTGTGTTAGAAGGTCGAACAGAGGACCACATGTATAGGGGCAAAGACTTCTAACAACTCGAACTACAAACTCACTGCCTATCAAGAATATATTAAATTAGGGTTGCCGTTTGTAATTTTCTATTTCTTAATTGTCTAAGAGCAACTCCACCCATTTGCCCCTTGCCATGGCAAGGGGGGAGTTAGGGCAGCCACAATTCACGTGAATAGTAGTTGCCCTTACAAATAGTATTGTGTGTTTTCACCCGTTGCCATGGCAAATAGCAATTACTATTTATTTTTTTATTTTTTTTCACAAATTTGTTTACCTAAACAATTAATTTGGATAATATTTTCGGATAAGATTTTTGGGTTCGTATGTGTCAATATTTATTATAAAATTCATATCTCAATCGGATACAATTTTGGTATTTATAGAAAAAAAAATTCAGTAATTTTTTGGTATTTTTTTTAAAAAATTTTGATTTTTTTTATTGTACAAAAATTGGCTGCCGTTGTATTGGAGAAAAAAATCTAATCGGAGAGCCCAAAGTGCGACACGTGGACTATAGCGGTACTGTAGCGCTGACGTTATGGTAAAACTCGGGCTGGAGCTCGGGCCAACCCAGTCTGCTGGGTCCCACTCCCAGCCCGGGCTTGGGCTCCTCACTGGAACTGGATTTTGTCATTTTCTCCCCCCCAACCCAATGCTTGGTCATGCCGCTGGAACCGCTCTAAGGAATGACATGGATTAAAAAATTCCATGTAGAAACAACATGTAGCAAAAACAGAAGAAGAATAGAAAATGTTATTGCAAATTGCAATACAACCAGAACAAAAAAAACATTCCTAGAGGAAAGCAGCGATGGCAGTTGGTTGCTTCCAAATCTCTCGGGAGAAGAAAAGCAAATGCGGCCATCTCGCATTGGGAAGCGGACTATCTTGAAAGGAGTGATTTACCCGCCATCACGGGACACGTGTGGGACGCACACCTCTCGTGACTCTCAAGATCCTCTCGACACGTGTCTTCATTTCGG